CGCCTTTTTTCTATAAGTGCAATTTTTTATTAGTAGCTTTGTTAACAGTTAAAAAATGTTCATAACTGCTGTAAAATGTTTTGCAATACAGTTTTAATTCTGAACTCATCTAATTTCTACATGTAGCACTAAAAGGGTAGAGGGGGCTATTTGAGCATTGGGGCAAGTCGGGCAGTTAAAATATCTATAAAGCTACATAAAATCACATGACAAAACATCTAATGGAAAAAAGTTAGGTAATTAGAATGTTAACACAATGCGCAACAAAAGATTGCTGAAAAGCTATTGATTAAGGTACACGAGCACTTTTTCTATTTTGGACCGAAAAAATAAAAATATCTTTTTGCTATTTTTCTCGCGTATGCTTATAAACTTTTTTTATTTGACATCACTTAAGTGCTGACATATTCATTTATTTGTTGATTTTTGAGCTTACCACATACTATTGCTCAATATACCCAGCTGGGGCAGGTTGAGCAGTTCCGCAAACTTTAGGCAATATTTTTTCAAAAAAATTAAAAACTTTACCTTTTTCATAACAAATTTTTAGCAGTTTAATTTATCTTTCAAATAATGAAAAAATTATGTAAGTCTGCCGCACCGTTCATGAGATCTCTTAGATTTAGTAAAAATCAGTTTTAATATCAATGAGGGGTGTAGAAAAGAATTAGATGCAGTGTTAATTTTGTTTTTTTTGCAAAAAATTTGTCACCCTATTAAGCAGGAAAGTTCAAGTTGCTTTGTATTTTTTGAATCAATCTTTTATAGCGATAACAGGAGGTAGTATAATTAGCATAAATTTTATCTAATTAAAACGCTGTTCAATTTTTTGTGTTTTTCAAATACTATCATTACAATAATACAATACAAATATTACTTTTTTTTATTAAAGTAATATGAATTAGCTAGAAATTTTTGTTTAGAATACAATATTGTTTTCTATTTTGTTTAAAATACAATATTGTTTTCCAAACAAAAGTAAAATGCATTTGCAATAAATTGCTCCCTTTGGTATGCATTGCAATGCAAAGAAACATTTAATTTTGACTTCATTTAAAAATTTTCGTGGAGTATGAGCATTAGGGTGTATCATACAAAATTTTTTGATTTTTAATTTCTCGGATAACTTTTATGGTACCACATATGTGAATGACTAATGACCCCCCCTTCAAAAAATTTTCTTTAAAATAATCAAAACAAAATTAATAATACCATCACACAAGTTAAAACAAAGATGCTAATATTTTAAAGATGCTAAATATGAAATCTTGATTTCCCAACTTTTGCTTCACTTATTCCATAAAAATTACGCAAAAGTAGGTATAATTTAAAACAAGATATCTCTATTTCTATAAATTATTTATTTCTATAAATTTCTATAAATTATTTATTTAAATTCTGAAATATTCACATTATATTTCTGAAAGATGCGAAGAGGTTATAAACCAGAATCATGCATTGAATATTCGTACATTTTAAATGTAATTTTTAATAAATTTATAAATATTTTTAACAAAAAAGGCAAGAAAAAAGCTTTTGAATATTCTTTGACATCGTATTTATTTGTAATTTTGGTTCATTACAAAACAATAACAAAAGCACCCTGAAAATTTCAAGTTAACATATAGTCGCAATCTGAAAATATCATATTTTAAAAATTACATAATCGCTGAAAATGACGTTTTGAGAAAAATACAAAAAACAAAGAAAAAGTTCGTTACATTACAAAAAAAGTATGAGTCCATTAAAAAAATTTACTAAATATAAAGCACATAAAAAAGAAGAAGCTGAAGTATAGATAAGATTCTGTTGTTTAGAAGCTTGAACAAGATGAAACTTTCTTGTTTTAAAATGCGTTGCTATGGCGTTGTTTTGAACCTCAAAATCCTATAATGGTCAAAGTAGACACATTTTAAAATACTTTTTATTTATTTTATTAAAAAAAAAAGTCATAAATATATTTTATGAACTAAAAATATCAATATTTAAAAAACTGATTTTTTCTAAAAAAATTTCAAAGTTAATAGGGGTGTACCACTTTAAAATTTTCAAATTATTGAATCCTAAATTTTTATATACTTTTTATATATACTTTTATTCACGCAATGAAACGTAAATAATTTTGTTTTAGAAAAATAAATTTATTAGTGGGGTAAAGTGCGATAAAAGATTAAAATAAAAGTGCTAAAATATAATCAAACAAACAAATTTAAAACAGTCAGACTTTTATTGTTTCAATGTTGTCATTTAAAATTTAGACAATATCACTGTAACAATTATTTATAATAAGATGGTTTTGAAAGCAACCCATGAGTCTTTAGAAATCGGAGCGGGTTCGTACAAATAAGAAAACAGATTCAGGAAAAGAAGAAGGTGTTCTATCAAATCCGGAATAAGGCAAATATTCTGGTCTACTTGTATGCTGCGTAATAAATTGAGGCATATAGCAAATCAACTACCTGCTCCAACTAATTATTTAAACCCTGACCCTGACCCTAATCTTGATCCTAACCCTATTCCTAACCCTAACCCTAACCCTAACCCAGATCACCTCATTAATTCACTTCAACCATATCAATCCACTAATAAAAAATCTAAATTTTTGCTAAACTTCTTTCAAAGTATAACTCTCAAAAAATTTAAAATAATTAAAATATAACTTTAAACAATAAAATATAACTTTAAATAATTAAAATCTAAATAAACTATGATCACTCAATAAATTTAAATTAATAAAGAAATAAATAATAACTTATATAAAAAAAATAAAAAAAAACCTATAATTCTTTCTTGTCCCCGAAATCCTTAATCTTTGAACTTCTCTCTAGACACCTGTCTAAACTTTGCATAAATCTATTACTTATATCGTAATAATTGTTTCCTTTTTTCTTCCCTTAGGCTGACAGGTCCAGCTTGCATATCGAGTAAACAGACTTTGTCTGATTATCTTGGATAAACACAAACCCTAGCCCTAACCCTAACCCTAACCCTAACCCTAACCCTGATTCTTGAGCTATAGGCTTTATCCCCCTATACATAATAAACACCTCGTTGTTTATTTTGTTTTATTAAGTATGTTAGTATTAAGTATACAAGTTTAAAAACACCTCTTAACTTATGAGCCTGTTTTAACTAGTATCATTACCACTTATAAGCGAAAAATGTTGCCGTCTAGGTGTATTGATACACACTTTAAATACTCCTTATTCACCATGTGCCGTCTATTTTTTAAAAAAAATTGTATTTAGGTTAATCTTTAGCTCTTCTATTGCGTTGGTTCTTTAGGTTATTATTTCTGAAAAATATATTAGTGTTTACTTAAATAGGTTCATGACAGGTTAATTGGCTCCGTGTAGTGTGTCCTTTTAGTGTTGCAACATGAACGAGACTTGGCGTCAAAAAAGGAATGAGTTTTTTATACTGATTTCGATGATAAGACTCCGACAGAAGTTTTTAGAATTTAGTGAATTAAACATTCGAAACGTCATAATACCAGGGTAGAGACCCCCTCAAAAGGGTCAATACCATAACCATTTCCTGATGAGAATCTGGTATTTACACTACCTAATTCGTTTGCTTTTTTCTCAAAATACTAATGTATTTTTATGCGTATCTTTTTGAATTCTAAATGCGCGTAATTTAATTTTGTTGCAATTAATTTGTCTATATTGTTCTATTGTCATGTTGTTTGCTTTGTATTTTGTCTTTGTAATTTGTATTAGTTACCTTTTTTTTTTTGTTAGTTTAATATTGTCAAAATAATGCTATAATGATATACTGTCCTATTATGTATTAATGTTAGTAAGCACTAACAGTTTAGTCGTTTTGAATTATAAATTATAGTACTAAGTTTTTAATAAGTTAATATTTAAGAGTAATAGTAGTAATCTCTAAGTAAGACTCACACCAATTTTTAGCCAATTTTTAACACTTTTTTTCGAGATTAAGTTCAAATTCACTTTTTATAAGACTGTAAGTTCCTCTATTTAAATTAAGTTCATAAACTGTATATACGAGGCAAGCATACACATTTCTATTCGAACCATATACACGCATTTTCTCAGTACGACTTTATTAGTTTGTGCATTGGTTATTCCTTATTTTTCAAGCATTATTTGTAACGCCTTTTCCCATGTCAAAAAGCTGACCTGTGTCTATTGTGTTATTTTCAATGCGCCTAAGTTCTCACAGCTCCCCCTCCTCTCAATTTTTTGCGTTATAAGTAATGAGTTTAATATACGTAGACAACTTTTAATTTGTGTGCTTGAGGTCTGTCCTTTAACATAATAATATATATAGATCTACTTCTTTAATATAAATATAATTTTCTTACATCAGTTATATCTTCTCCTCTCTCGTTCTTTATTTGAGGTTTCTTTAATATTTTTTTCACTTCGTATTTTATCTCCTTAGAATATAGTCTTTCTATCTGTGTTTTTATTTTTTGTTTTCATTCTTAAAGACTTAATTTCCTAAAAAACGAGTCTCACGTATATAAATCTCATGTACGCGCGTTAACACCTTTTTTATTTTTTGTTTTTTAATTTTTATTGTACAAAAAGAATTAATACTCTCACAAATTTATAAGGGAAGATGTAAGAATGAGCTCCGAGATGGAGAACTTAATTAAAACTATATTTACGTTATTGTAACTTTATGAAGCCATTATATAGAACATAAGCGATAAGAAATGTTGTAGTTTATCATTAAACATGTTTTGTCCGATACTGCAGTATTTTATAATACGGCAGATAAAGGCTTCACACACATCCTATAGGTACTCTCTAAAAGGCAAGACATTCACACATACGTATATAATCATTGAGGTGACGTCATAACCCTAACCCTAACTTTGACCCTGACCATAACTCTAACCCTGACTTTTGAAAAGGTTGTTAAACTGATGAATTGTGTGCTAGAAAACACTAGAAAACAATAATACATAAACATACTTTTAAGTTTTTTGATAATACAATTTTTTTAAATGTACAAAACAATATTTTTATAAACAATTCCATAAAGATATAATTTTAAAAATTAAAATATTAAATATCAGAAAAAAAAAAAAAAAAATTTGCTTTTCATTAGGAAACCCGTTAGTATAATTACAACTGATTTTATCTATTATTTTAGTCATCGTCATCTTCAAAATCAAAATCGTACAGTTTGCGCAGCATTTGCATTAGTTTATCTTTATTTTGATATTCATCAATAAATGTTATGCTCTTGAACAGTGCACCATCACACTCGGCTTTGCGCTCTATTAGTTTATATTTATCTTTAATAGCTTCTTTTAAAAATTCTTCAGAAAAATCTGGCGTTAATAAAGCATAACTGATCGAATTTAGGCCGTATTTTAAATCCTTGATCCTAGGATCAGCTTTAAATTCCAGTAGTACTTTCACCATTTCCATATTCTGTTCAAAAACAGCAAATGTCAACAACATTGAAGCTACATAGATTTGAGAAACTTTACATCTAGCAGTTGCAAAATCTTGTAAGGTTAAAGTATTTATAAATTTGATTTGCTTATCATTTTCTTTACCTTTAAAATAGTCATACTGATACTTGAAAATTTCTATTTTTAATATTCTTTCAATATCTTTAAAGTGATCCTCTCTCATCAGCGGTACATTATTAAGGTGAGCATTATCTGAAATTAATTTCACTATTTTTCCTACATTGCCTTCTGCTTCAGCGAGCCATAGATCGATACCTTTATGATCTACGCCTACCAGATCAGCCAGTTTTTCGAAAAAATATTTGTTTTCATTATTATAATTTGGAAAAAACATCAAAACTAACTTACATTCTTCTATTTCTTCTTCTTTTGTTACTTTGTTTTTATTATATTCCGTTTTTACATTTTTTTTTAATCTTTTTAATCGTTTTTTTACTATATTTTCTAATTCATCAATCGATAATGCTATATTTTTAAAATCATTGATTTCATAATTTATAAATTTTATTACTTTCGACGTAGCATCTTTTATTGAATTACTTCGATCACAATCTGTAGGAGTTACTTTCAACGCAAAATCCAAAATTTTATTAATATCTATTTGTGGGTTTAAGGAATAGTTTTCAGCAATTAACGACGCTAAAGTATTTAAAATATTGACTGCCCTTTCTATAAAAAGATTTGATGGTTCCACCATTGATGGGGAAAACGCAACTAAAAACAAAAACAAAACAAAAAAATTAAAAACTAAAACTAAATTGAGACAAACTGAACATAAAATATAACTAATAAGTTTAAGTCATCTAAAGACAGTTTTATGTGAATTGGATAGTAAAAAAATTATTACGAGTTTATTTATTAAACAGTTGTTAAACATGATGAGATGATAGCACTTATTATTGATTATATCTGAATTAAGTCAAAACATAAAATTGTTTTATAAAACATTATTAATGCAGGTTACTGTTCTCTTTATTATTAATATTACAATTAGTCAGGAATAATAACATTAGTAACTAGCTGTCCGGAATCGTAAAATATGGGTCTTGTTAAGTTTTCTTCACCAACCATTTCTTTACTTATTTCTTACATTAATGCTTTTTAGCAAGGGGTAGAAAAATAGTTATAAGATTAGATCTATTTATCTATTACTTCTGATGGGTCAAAACTAAAGTTAAATATAAACAACTGCGCATTTCATTTATGACAAAACCAATTTCATCAATTTTTATTTGGGATTTGCATACCTTAATAGATACCATGAGGCAGATAATTTAAATAAGGCTTTGCAGAAAATCCTAGAAAAATTTAAGGTGATTGATGAAATGAGTGTAGGGGAAAGTAGGGCAATGGCGAACGCAGGGAAACTCAAAACATGATCAAAACGGCATGATAAAAAGATATAGTTGACAATTTCTTTTTTCCTGCTAATAGGGGGTACCAAACTTAGCTCCAGACGTGCAGTAAAGCTACGCTTGTTGTTCGAATAAATTGATCCTAATATTTTTGATAATTTTATGTAATTTACTGTTTAAGAAACCTTGCTTTTGTAGCTACTATGGATATAAAACCACTAATTTTGTTGTTTTTGTTGCATAGTACCATAATCAAGGATTTTTAACACATATTTTATTTTGGGTATGTCAATACAACCTCAATAGATTAATCGTATTTCATTTGTTTGTGTCCGCAGGAAAATAATGAACGATCTTAGTGTGGTAATTTCAAACCTTTAAAGAGTCATTGAAAAGACACGGACGTCAGGCGGCCAGAACTTCAATGTTTCTTACTTGTGTCACATTTAATTTTAACAGATATAAAATATAATTGTAAGATTATATTATAAAATATGTTAGATTGTAACAGATAAATTGTTAAAATTTCATTTAATAGAGTGAAAACTAGAGAATGTTTATAAAAGAATCATTCAATTATTATTACCATTTTTCATGTGAAAAATATTTTAGAGCAAAATATAATTAAGATGGAAAAACTAAAAAACAAGAGCAGGTCCAACTATGTTTACAATGCGTTTTTGCACCTTGTCTAAAAGAGAAAGGGCATCATTAGAAGATCTACCCCAGATATGGCAACAGTACTCCATACAAGGCCGGATTTAAGATTTATAGAGATAGAGAATAGAATCCAGAGTAAGAAAGTGACGAGTTCGATAAAGAGAAGCAACTTTAGAAGATGCTAATTTTGCAACGGATTTGATATAAGGTTTCCAAGAAAGATCAGATGTAAGAGTTAATCCTAGAAGATGAAAGGTAGGAGACTCATAATCATAAATATAGGAAAGTCTAAATTATTGCGATAACGATTGAAAACGCTGAAAAAAATTGAGTTTTATCTGAATTAAAGTTCACCAGCCACTGTGAGCCCCATGATGTAGCAGAAGTGAGATCCTTTTTAGGCTCAGATGCCCCCTGCAAGCAATCAGAGGGAGTTGGCTTCTTATCGTGACAAGAATAAATGGTAGTATCATCAGCGAACAATGCCACCTTAGATGTGAGAATATCTGGAAGATCGTTAATGTAAATTAAAAAGAGTATAGGGCCAAGAATTGAACCTTTGGGAACCCCTGAGGTTACAGAATAAGAAGAAGAGTGCTGTCCATCAAGGACAACTTTTATACTACGATTGGAAAGAAAGGATTCAATAACCTTAAAGATGTTTCCAGATACACTATAAGAAGAAAGCTTATGGAGGAGACCAGCATGCTAAACTTTATCAAACGCTTTAGAAATGTCAAGAGCAATGGCCTTAACCTCTCCACCTTAATCTAATGCGCGATAAAATCTATCGGTTATCACTGATAGCAAATCAGCCGTAGAACGAGAAGATCGAAATCCATACTGATGATCAGAAAGTAGGTTATGAGATTTGAGAAGAGAGATTAAGTGTTTGTTAATAAAAGATTCAAAAACCTTGCTTATGATAGGAAGAAGACTAATGGGGCGGTAGCTGGATGAATCAGATCGCTCTCCAGAATTTTTAAAAATAGGGATAACAGAAGCTGCTTTCCAGCAGGCTGGAAAACAAGACTCTGATAAACACTTGTTAAATAGTTTTGAAAGGATAGACGACAGCTCCGGAGAACACTTCTGCAAGACTATAACAGGTATGTTGTCCGGGCCGCAAGCTGTAGAAGAGTCTAAGCGAGAAATAACTTTAGATACAGAAGCTGGAGTGATACGAATGTCGAGCAATGGATCAACCTGTTTGACGGCTTTATCAGGTAGAACGCAACTAGTGGAATCAAGAGATGATATTGATGAAAAGTTCTTGGCAAACAATTCAGCTTTGTCTTTAGGTGAGGAGACAAAGTCTGAACCACACAAAAGAGGTGGAATTACCGACTTGTCCTTATTATTGATACTATTAAAGATTCTCCAGAAGTCACGAAAGCCTAATTTTTGTGATGAAATACGAGATTTCATGATCTGAGAATAGCGGGCTTTGGCGTTAGACAAAACCATTTTACAATGGTTTCTAGCAGTAATAAACAGACGTCTGTTTTCTGGAGAATTATTTTTCTGATAGATATGGAAGTAATGGTTTCGATTGGCAACTGCAGCAGCACAATGTGAGGAAAACCATGGAGAAGAGTGAGGCTTGACCTGGAATTGTCAAGAGGGAATGAAGGATTCCATGCCAGCACGAATCCACGAAGTTATGTAAGAAATACATTTGTCAACAGTGACACGAAACATTTCTACCCAGGGGCCATCACGAAGAAAATCACGGAAAAGAGTCCCAGTCCGCTTTAAGGTAGTTGTAAGATGTACGATGATAGGGGGATTCTGATGGTAAAGAAGAATGAGATAATAATTTTAGAGAGACCAAACCATGATCAGAAGCACGTTAGGGTGAGTGTGAAGAAACTGAGCACTGACTAGGATCAGAAACAAGACATAAGTCGAGTAGAGAAGGTAAATGATTCGGGTTGTCTGGAAAGCGAGTTGGAAAGTTGACATTGAGTTAGGGATTGATAAAAGAGTAGTCTGTGGATTCAAACCTAGTTTCCCGACAAATGGGTGAATTCTTACGAATGTAAATGCCTAGGTCAAGCATGTGACTATTGGAGTCTTTACGAATTAAAGGAATTAAATTAAAGGATGATAACCATCAACACTAAGATCACAAGATGAGACAGCTGAATTCAAATTAGTCTCTCAAAGAGCAAATAGGTCTGGTGAACTTTGCAAGAAATAAGACTCAACAGAAGAAAAGTTACTTCGAAGACCACGAATATTGGTGAATGATAGGTTTAGCGAACTTGGTGATGAATGTGGTTTTTTGTGTTTTATAGTTTTTGTTACTTTATTCATTTTTAATTTTGTTAAAGAACTTGACTTAAAACATAGATAGTACTCAGTACACTGTTTTATAGCTCAAGCACTTGGCTCATTTCCACTAATAAACCCTTAGCCGTAACAAAGAGCTCCAATGTGGCCTTGGCAATGCACACTAAAAGTACAAACAGGGACACCATCTATGTGCAACATGGCACTATTAGTACTCTGATATTTTTAGCTGTTGATAGAATCAGCATCTCTGAGAGCTACCACAGAGTTCGGGAAACCTGACTACCAGCCGGCCTCAGAACCATAAAACTGAGTTTTAGAGCTGTACCCTCATTTGGAGATAATAGAATGAGTTGCCTAGTCATAAAAACAGAGACACAAGCAAAACCCATGAATCGAGTCAAGAAGATCCAGCGTTTAACATCCTAAACTGGAAACAATGTAATAAAAATACATCTGCGCCAGCCTAATAGATGAAGAAGGGGTGCGAGGCTGGTCAACAGATAGAATCTGTTTACCCCTTAAGTCTTTGCCTAAGAAGCCTTCTACAAGACAGCATCCAGATGCATGTAACATCTGCCCAAGATAAGTATTTTTATCAAGACATCATCTCTAGCCTTTACTCAACCAAGAGCCCCAAGGCAGGGGGTGTTTTATGTCGGAGTTTGCATCTCCTAGCCTTTGCCTAAAAAGGCACATCCTACAAGGCAGCAGGACATAAAGCAGATTGTACTGGGTTACATGTTACCAGTAGCAGGATAAACCTGACCTGACATTAATTATATATTTACATCCGAACTTGTTCAAGATATAGCTTATGGAACAAGAAAATTACTTTAAGCAATTATTTACATACAACTTATTTTTCCTGCATGCCAAATTCAGGTATTTGACATGTAATACAATGTGTTTGATGATTTCTAATGTCATTTGCAAATCGATCATACTGTATGCTTTGACACACAGCTTCTTATGTCCTGTTTTTGAGAATGAGCCTTTAAAATATCAATAAGTTATTATAAATAATATTTTATTCTGTTTTAAGTATTTTTTTTTCATTCCATAGGTACTACCTAAAGCTGTTCTAACAATGGAAAAGTGGCAAACCATAAACTTATATCAAAACAATTGTTAATCAATAAACCAATCTGTTTTATCAAATTCATTGCTTTGAAAATTTTTTAAATCAATTAAACCAAGCCACCAGCATTCACTAGCAGACCTCGATGATACGACATGTAAACAGGCATAAATAGGTTTATTTCTCAAATGAAATGTATTTCCATAGCATCCACAGATGCAAACACAATAAATTATATAGAAAGATGTTCAAAAAAAACAAAACGCAAAGCGATATTTAAGGACTACATATAGTTTACATTGCATAGGAAAGTCAAATATTGC